AGAGAGAGAGTGAATGGGAAGAGAAAGAGAGAGGGAGATAGAGGACATGAGAGAGAAAAGGATAGAGAGAGAGAGAGAGAGAGAGAGAGAGAGAGAAAGGGAGAGAGAGGGAGAGAGAGAGAGAGAGAGAGAGATAGAGAGAGAGAGGGGATGTGCCTTTGGTAAATCCTTCTTTTCTCTCCCTCCATTGATTCTGTATGTATGGGTGGTTGAAGGGTGCCACTGGTAGGTCCTACTTCCTTTCTCTCCCTCTGTTGTTTCTGTCTATGTGGATGGTTTGAGGTTGTCTCGGGTAGGTCCTGCTTTCTTTTCTTTCCCTCTGTTGTTTCTGTCTGTATGGGTGGTTGGAAGGTGTCATTGGTAATTACTGCTTCTTTTCATTCCCTTCTGTTGTTTGTCTTTGTCAGATTTTGTCTGCAGCACAGTGTGGCAGTTGTTATGTATATTATGTTTGTTTCTTTGACCTAAAGTCAAAGTCCGACTAGCGACTTGTAACACACACAAAACTTTGTGTGTGACTTCAGTGGTCTAGTGGTTAGGTTTTTGGGCTCATAACCAAACGTTCAATGGTTTGAACCCCGTCAGGGACCTGACTTTGAGATCTTGGAAAAGACACATTCCTCATGAATGTTCCTTACTTCACCCAAGAGGGAATGAATACCCAGCCACAGACAGCGAACGATCCTTTCAGTATCTTATTCCTCTAGCGCCTGCAATCAGCAGCTTGTACAGTGTGCTTCCCGGGAAGCAGAGAATGTTTTTGAGCATTCTAGGGTCAGCTGGGGGTAATAATATAGACTGTAGAGTGCATGCATCAGGCTGTTGAGTGGGACTCCAGTGGCTAAGTGAGTAGTGAGTATAGACTTATGAATAAAGTCAAGCAAGTGTTGGTGACACAGGGCTCAGATGGGTGGTCACTGGAGTGTGTCCTTAAGCAAGGTACAACAACCCTAGCTCGACAAACAGGGCGCTGCACAGTGGGGACCAGCAATGGCATGGTTGTGAAATTGTTCTACATTGGGATTACATTGTGTATTTATGTATGTTTGTATGTTGTATGTATATGTGAATACATCTATGTATGCATGTATTTATAATTATGTATGGATGTATGTTTGCAATTATAAACCAAATTGCCGTGGGTGGTTGGCTGGTGCTCTGGTGTGGTTTGCTTGTTCTTTCCTATCAAACATCTATCGTCCTTATCTCTCTTCTTTCTTTTCTGTGTTTGTTACTCTCTTGTAACACCTCTTATCTTCGGAACTTATTATGACCTTATTTTGTTGCCAGTGCTGTAAATCACTTACTAAAACATTTAAATAAAAACTAAAATGCCCCTCTGAGATAAATAGAGATGTAATTTATTTATCTATTCGAATGTGCTGTACAAATGCAATTTTAAATTGTCTGTGTCTTCCCCCAGATTGTGGAGCTGCTGGTCAGTCTACTGGGCATCCCGTGTCGAGGCGCGCCAGACATGCTGTGAGTTCTGTTTCCTTGACCTGATTGTATGGGAGAGATGTGGGAAGGTTAAATCAGGCGCTGGTCAATTTTTGGTCATATGGAGTAACTGATACCAAACTAGAGCTTATTCATGTTTCTTGATCTTCCAGAAAAATATTCTTCTGTCTTATGTAGAAGTCGACATAAGTGTGATTGTCTCCGATTGTCTGTTCAGACGAACCGTATGAGAAGGACTGGGGGGTATGCAGAAATACTTCGTTGGCAAGCTGTTAAAATGTCTTAAGTCCAGGCAGAAAGCAAAATTTTTCAGGAGAGAGAGAGACTGAGAGAGAGGGAGAGGAAGAGGGAG